GGGTTTGCTGCACCACAGGGTCCGTGCAGCATAGACGTCATGACAGTTTCATAAAGACCCGGGTTAGTCTCAGGATCCGATATTTCCGCAGACACCATTTTGTCAATGATCTGTCGCGTGCGGGGTTTGTCGTCGTCAGCCAAGATGACTAAGATGTGAGCATGTGGAAGACCACGCTTCTGAAACTCCACAACGTAAATCCGAGCAGCAACCCGTCCAAGCACACCCTCATCCAGGTCTTTAGATGAGCAGCCAGCTTCTGCTGCCATACTCTCGCGACGATATCTGGGCGATCTTGGGCACTCTGGTTTGGATCGATAATCTTCTCCTTGATCTCTCCCCACGTAGGATTGCAAGTCATCGTATCGAAGATGTCAGGCTTGCCGTATTCCCTAACGATAGCCATGGAGTCTTGTTACGATTGGTACATCTGGCGCGGACTTCCGGAGTGTAAAGACGGCAAGATGACCTTCTTTCCAACCTGATTAAGGAAGTGTTTGTTCCTAGCTCGGTCTGGATGAGCCAGCTCTCCAGTGTCACGATCATATTCCGCCAGGAGTCCTTCGCCATCACCCAAGATAGTCCTAGCCTCTTCCATAGCTTCATGGAGATACGCGTCTCGAAGGCCATTGAATTGATAAGCACAAATCTCCTTCTGGTGAGTTGCAATCCAGCGAAGCTCTTCTTGTTCGCACTTGGCTCTCTGGTCCACACAGTACTGCTGAAAGAGACGTCCTCCTTGATGAAGGGCTGCTTGGTCGTCCTCCTTTTGGAATACCCGATACGCCACGTGCTCACGTAGCAACATGGCCCTTTTGTTTCTGCGCACCACATTGCCTTCGTATGTATCCGTGTATGTCCACCCCAGTTCTCCATATGGAAGAAATAACGGATACTGAAGGGGATCGTAGATAGCACGCGTCTCGTAGAGTCGCATGAGGCTTCTATCTTTTGTGTACACCAACAGGTCGCGAGGCTGTGCGAGCTGGCCGTCTTCAATCATCGTGGCAGCCAACACAGAAACCGTCGGCAGGTTTTCCGTTCCAGGCCGTGAAGGATTGTTTTTCAGGCGGAACACCAAGTCGATTGGCTGTTGCATATCATTCTGACGCACCCTCTCACCAAACGTGAGGAACTGTTGGGCGAACGGGTTGTGCCTTTCCATCATCTGCTCAATGTCTAACAGAGCCACACGATCCAGATCAGCGAAGATTCCCCTACGTCTCTCTGCACGGCGCTGCATATCTGGATCAACGATATAGATCTGCGCAAACTTGGGCTGCGTCCTCTGGCCAGTTCGACGATCAATG